CCAACCGCTAGCTTTTTCTTTGTCAAATGAGCTTTTATGAAAAGCTAAGAGTGGGAAAACCGAAAGGCTGATAACCAAACGCTATCAAATTAAAATGAGTCTTTGAGAATTTTGCTGAAATACATTGACGGCGGGCGGCAGGTCTCGCGCCGGTGTTCTGCGCCATTCGCCTTTCTTTTTGGACTCGGGAAATGAGCTACGTATTTACCCCACGAAAAACGGAGCGGCAGCGGGCCGCTGGAGGTGCCCTGCTAGTAAGATCCCGTTTATACTGTAAACTGCCATAACATAAAAACTATAATAGCTAGAGCGGTCTTTTTTTAGCTGAAAGTTGAGACTGTCTCGCCTTTCAGCACTGTACAAGTCGATGATGTCATCGTGTTGCGTTAAGTGTGCTGCACACCGCGGCTATGTAAACTCACAGTGACCTTGAAGCAGCGTGGGAGAGTTGAAGAATTTAACCAGTTAAAATGGATTCATGGATATTTAATCAATAGTTGTGGCTCCTCTGGTCATTTAGTTCTTTGTGTGCCGGAGACATTTGCTGAATAAGGAAATAAAAACTTAAAATGACAAAAAAATTAGGGAAAAACACTTGTTTTGTATTTTATCAATTATTAATGATCAATAGATTGTTGGTGTTTTAACTTTTGGTAAAGGAAAACACACAATTTCCAGGCAGCCCCAGTCTGGAGAAGTGATGGTGACATCAGCCGTTAAAAATAAATAATACTCTGAGGTTTTTATGAATAATTTGTACTTTTACTTGAGTATTTCTCTAACAGCAGTACTTTAACTTGTAAATGAGTAATATTTTAGCAATGTAACAGTACTTGTACTTGAGTACAGATTTTCAGAATTCTTTCCACCACTGCTGAAAACTGTAAATGCTCATTGTAACATGTTAATTAAAATGCTTAAGCAACAGACGTGACATGAAGATTGTATTGTTTGTTTTATGCAACATCAGGAGCCCTACACAGATATTTTGCGATGACATCAGCTGCCACTGAGGAACTGCCATCTACCTCCACTGCTCATAGGCCAGTATTTGAACTCGAGGAGGGACAGTCTGCTGGCACCACATCTCCCCAGGAAGATACTTTAGGTGGGTTTTGCACACGTGTGTGTGTCCAGCAAACATTTAGCTATAGACATTTAAATAGTATTTTCACAGAATATGGGAATTGTTCCATATAGCAATGTGGTGAGTTATGCTTCCATTTTTTGTCAATAGAGAGACCTACCAGTATATGTGAACTTGATGAGGGACAGCCAGCTGCCACGTCTCCCCAACAAGATATGTCAGGTAAGTTTTGCACAAGTGTGTGTGTGTGTGTGTGTGTGTGTGTGTGTGTGTGTGTGTGTGTGTGTGTGTGTGTGTGTGTGTGTGTGTGTGTGTGTGTGTGTGTGTGTGTGTGTGTGTGTGTGTGTCCTGCAAACATTAGAGAAATTTCAATGTCACATATTGTATTTTAATAGAATATGTGAAATGGTCCACATAGCAATGTGTTGAGTTACGCTTCTGTTTTTTGTCAATAGAGAAGCCTGAACGATCAACCAATGGGTCCCATTGAAGGTGATGATGAGCCTCTTTCTTCAGACCCAGCCAAGTGGCCATCACCAATTACCGACAGCATACGCACAGAGCTAGTTCGAGGAGGACCTACCAAAGTGCCAACTACTTTCATATTTCCCAGGAATGAAGGCGATGGCAGGTGTTGTCATCATCACTATTTCAGTAGAACTTTGACAAGTGGTGAGAAGGTGGCCAGGAGCTGGATGTTGTATTCAGTTAGCAAACGTTGTTATATATACACTCCACGCAATTTGAAACAAAGTTGTAGGTGTAATTTTTTTTCTTGTGTGTGTGTGTGTGTGGGGGGGGGGGGGGGGGGGGAGTCACGGGGGATCTCGCACAGGGCGCCATTTAGGCCAGCTCCGCCTCTGGGTGTAGCTTATAATCTCCTTTTTAAAGCTGAATTGAAACCGAAACTCAGGGAGGCGGAGTCTTGCTGCTACAGCATCCCAAATCAGACCTGATCTAAAGACGCGGATACGCGTCCTTGGACCCCAGAGGGTTAATAAAACACAATTCAAATCACACTATTTTCTTAGGCCTATTAATAACACACATATGATTTTGTTCATGTGGAAAGTTTATGTGGTTAAATCCACCAACTACCGGTAAACACACTCTGAACTTCAACACAGCACATCAGCGCTTGAAGCGGCGCTGCGAGCAGCCGCAACCCAAAAGTACCAGAACCGCTCACGGCGCATGCGCAATCATGCATCAACACAGCTCGCCCGCTATTTCCCTAATAACACACGCTGTTCGTTTTGAATTTCTACACGTCTTTTTACTCACAAAGATTGTCAAGAAAGCATGCTTGTCGTTTTCATGTCAAATTAAACTGATCACAAAACACAGATTTACTTTCTTTATTTCGTTTTCCTCATCCAACCCCCACAAAACCCTGTGTGTCCTCCTGCAGCACTCCCGGTGTACGCCCGGCTTTAGTAGGAGGGAGACCCGTGATTATCGCGTTGTCGCGCATGTCTCATTGAAAATGAATGGAGGAGAGGCGAAGTTGCTTCCCGTGTGTCGAGCCCATTAGAAGAGCACGAGCCGTCAGCGTACGCAATGAGGAAGTGCACGTGAGCTCTAAACCAGGTCTGAACCAGGACTAGACCAGTAAAGTGAAGCATGCTTTTGGCTGTTTATAATTTTCACAATGTCTGGTTTGCACTGATATATAGTATATATGTACATACATACATATATGTATATATATATACATATATATATACATACATATATGTATATATATATACATACATATACATATATATATATATATATATATAGAGAGAGAGAGAGAGAGAGAGAGAGAGAGAGAGAGAGAGAGAGAGAGAGAGAGAGAGAGAAGGAAAGAGGGAAATCAGTGGATCCTGAGGAAGGTAGAATAGGTGGGGAGAGCAGAACAAGGAGAGGGTGATGAAGGTCACACCAAAGCTAGCTTGAACAGGTGAGGTTTCAGCTGCTTCATAAAGGAGTCCACTGATCTCAGGCTCGGGGGAGAGAGTCCCAGAGTCTGGGGGCCACAGCAGCAGATGATCTGTCACCTTTGACCTTTAGCCTGGTGCTGCACAGCCAGTAGGCTTTGATCACTGGACCTCAGGGACCTGCTGGGGGTGTAGGGACTAAGAAGATCACCAATGTAAGATGGTGCTTGTCCATGTAAGGCCCTATAGACCAGAACCAGGATCTTGAAATGAACCCTGAAGTTGTCTGGCAGCCAGTGAAGCTGGAGGAGAAGCGGGGTGATGTGGGTGTGTTTGGAGGACTTGGTCAGAAGCCGAGCACAGGCATTCTGAACCACCTGTAGACGGTTCAGGGAGGTTCTGCTCAGACCCGTGAAAAGAGAGTTGCAGTTGTCTAAGCGTGAGGAGATGAATTAACTCAAAAAGTTAAAACTAACTGTGGAACAGAGATAATAATATAGCCAGCTTAATTAAGACAGCAAAGAAAATAACTACATTTTTAATTCAAACCAGAAATGAAATTCAGTCGTGCTCATTTTATAATATTTCAAGACTTTTAAAAATATTCCAATCCTTGATGAAGTAACAGACGTTAGTCAGAAGAAAACTAAATGTAACTGTTTTCCTGCTGCTGGTTGGTCATTCCTGATAATATCATAATATTTTGTTCCCAGTCCATCTTGAGTTAGCCATATTTTTATTTTCACCTAAACTACAGAACTGCATGTTTCTACTCTAAACAACAAACTCTCAAAGTTTCATATACTTCACCAAGACACAGAAGATGCAGCAAAGATGAGATGAAATTCAAATAGTGCATAAATGAATGACTGGAAAATCTAGAAACTCACATTAAACCGTGTGACTGACAACACAGATCACCTGTTTGAGGCACATCACCTGAACTACATCAAACACAAACAGTAAACTCTAAGGGGCGGGGCCTCTATGGTCAGAAACACCTACAACTTACCTCCATTCTTAAGAAGGATTCCAGATTATCAGAGGACTGGAACCAAAAGGGACCAAAGACAAAACACATCATGAGGACGGGACTAAAGGTCCAAATATAAAACGGGTCCAAACACCGGCAGCAAGGACCTGGTCAGAACTTCTGCCTCCAATAAAAGGCTCATGAGGAGATAAACGCATGGTTCTGACTGCTGGTGGTTAAATGTGATCTAACCATTTCTAAAACGAAGCCTGAGAGAAAGAAACTCTAATAATAAAAACACCCCAGTAAAGATGAAATGTTGAGATTATCTGATGATACTTGACTTAATCTCTTCTGAATATTTCTTAACTTTATTAAACAAAAACAACTTTTTACTTGGTAAAAATATTTACATAAAACAGATGAGACAAACGGCTGTAAATCTGAGATGTTACAGCTGATTTTAGTGGTTTATCATCCTCTGGATGCACAGAGTCACACGTAGAAGATAACCCTTCTCCTTCCAAGTAAGATGTTTTATCACGTCTAACTGCTTTTGTGAGGTAAACACCAGGAGGTTTGTGATTATGCTGCATCCCAATAGCTGATAACATCTTTGTCTGCTGATCACAATGAAAGTCAAACTAAACCAGTAAGCTAACTGATCTGCTGGTATAAAGCCCTGATGCTACTCTACATCCAGCTAAATTACAACAGCATTACATGAATAAAGCAGTAACTGAGCCTGATGTAAACCAGCTATAATATAAAGCATTGTGTTTGCTAAATGAGTGCACTGGAAGCTAATTGGTTTAGGCTTACGGTGCAGCAGAGAGCTTATGGCTGCAGGCAGCAGCAGCAGGACGAGCTAATAATAACAGACAGGAGAGGACAGGAGCGCTGTGACATTCAACAGGAAATAAACCGAGGAGCAGCAAGCTGTCCTTGCAAAGGATCTCTAGATGTCAGCACTTTAAGTTTTACTTATAATTAACTGGAATGAAGTAGCGACCCCCACCTGCCCTTCCAGCATGTCTCTCTGCAGGCCGGAGCGGTCCTGCTCGGTGCTGTTGGTCCTGCGGATGGACAGGCTGTGAGACTTCCTCTTCTGCTTGGCCTGGCGAGCCGCAACATTACTTCCACTTTCCACCGGCATGCTGATGCTGTCTTAATCCCGATGTTCCTGGTCTAAAGCCAAAACGTTGGCACGAGGAAAGCAGAAGAGAAAAATCATGAGAGCAAGTTTCACATTCAAAAACACTCAAGAGGGAGGTGCAGGGTGGCAGGGTGGCAGGATGGCAGCGGTTGTGTTTGGCAGCTCCACAAGTGTGAACGTGTGAACTGACTAAATGAATGAGTGTGAAAAACACAGTGCTGCTAAGCGTATTTACAAGGCAAATCCTCAGCGGGTACCATAAGGTGACACACAAAAGATTACAAAGCTGGAAAATGAGAAGCAGGCAGTAACTAAACCAAGATTTCATTGGATGAAAGTAGAAAAATTAAAAAAGATCAGCAGAAGAAATATGAAGGAAATTATTCAAAATTACAGAATCAGGAAACAACCTTTTGGTGCAAATAAGTCATGTTACTATTATCAGTGTGCTGTTTCTGGTGAGCCACAGCTGGATGCTTTTAGTGAGGCTTCAATAAATTCATCAACCAGCTAATCTATATTTTACATCAATGAACAGTCTCTCATGTCTGAGTATAAAGCTGAATATGTGGCCCTGATTTATTTATAACAAACAGTTCAGATGTTCACAAAACATTTTTATTTACTCTGATTTATGTCATAATAGGGCATCGTGTAGAATGACAGTAGTCTAATGAAACTTTTAAAGTTGATAGAATTCGTAAGAAGCTGCAGCCCAAAACTCCCTTTCCAGAACTATGGTGACATGATTTATATAATATCACAAAATAAAGACACTATTTTACAACAAATGACAAAATCCTAAGATGCACATAACCTGCAGTGCCTTAGACTTTAAGATCAATTTATTTTTATATTCAATTAAAAAGCCATTAAATCTGTGCAATGATTCAGATTTTATTTATTTAAAGGATAATGTGCATCAGTAAGCAAAGATTTACCCATTAATGTGACAGATTTAGCCAAAAGGGCTATTTTTAATCAGTATTCACATCACAGGGGGATTGTAAAAAGGAGTATATAAAACTGATCATTTAAAAAGGTTATTGGATCAAATGTGACATAAAAGTAACGTGAATAACAAGAGTTATGCATTATGGATTAGGCTGCACGTGCCTAATTGATTGAACTATTGTCATGATTAAAGAGCAAGTCACCCCCCTTCAAGAAACTTACTCCACTCCCACTTCATGTTTGAAAAATGCAACAAATGCTGTTGTCTGGCAGACCAAGAGGGAAGAGCCACTAACACACACAGGCTCACAACAGCATTGTGACATCATAATGTACCAGCTAACGTCATTGTGTACCTCTTAGCCAATAACGATGGCAGATTTAAATTCAAATGTAGTTCAGAGTTTTTACCTGACAACAGCACAACACTGACCGTTTTAGGCAGAATATTTAAAGAGCAAGTCACCGCCAAATCAACTATTTTCTTCTGATAAACTATATAAATGTGTGTCTAATCGTGCTGCAGACACGTGTAGTCAATAGTTTTTCACTTTAGTGCATTTTAGTTATAATTTAAATTTTCTGCCTGAAACTGTCAGTGTTGTGCCGATGTCAGGTAAAAACTCTTCACTGCATTTGAATTTAAATCTGCCACCGCTATTGGCTAGGAGGTATGCTATGATGTAAACTGGTACATTATGATTTCACAATGTCGTGAGTGTGTGTATTTGTTAGTGGCTCCACCCTCTCGGTCTGCTAGGCAACAGCATTTGTTGCATTTTTCAAACATGAAGTGGGAGTGGAGTACGCTTCTTGTAAGGGGTGACTTGCTCTTTAAATTTTAGCAAAGATTCACTAAGCTGCCACATTATTGACTACACGTGTCTACAGCACGATTAGACACTCATCTAGATAGGTTATTGGCAAAAAAAAAAGGTTGATTTGGGGTGACTTGCTTTTTAGTTAAAATCCCATTGTGACATCTGTAAAATGACGTTTCCATGGTGATGACAAACCTACAGCTGCAGCAGCCATAATTGCGAATCGAGGTTATATTTGCCCTTGGGCTGCAAAAGGAAGGTTTCCTGATCAGCTGTTATCTCATCTACAGCCTCCCTGAAGACACAGCTGTCTCTTCCACCCGTTTAGCCTCAGATCTCGCTGAATAATCCACCCTTTGCCTCGCTGTCAGTCTGGTCCTCGTCTTTCTGTTGACTGATGAGACTCAGAGACGGGAGGACAGTCTCAGTATCAAACAGTGCTGTTATAGTGTATAAGTGTTATAAAGAATCAATTAAAGATCAAAGGAGTTCAAAACGAACGAGTTATGTCGTAATTCGTTACCCAGAACAAGCTAAGTAAAGCTAACGTCACCGTTAGCTGCTACTGCTAAGAGCTAACGGAAAAGAAAGAAACATGGTTCCAACTTACCGGAAAGTCTGTTAATGTGAGTTTTTACTGCAGGAGGTTGTTTTATCTCTCATTTTCCTTTATTTGTGCGCAATATTTCTGCGCAGGTTTTATTCAAAATCCGAGATGACGAGAACCGTTAGTCCGTCCGTGAGAAAGACAACGAAGCCAATTTCCGGTGGTGTGCTGCCGAAAAAGGTACACCAGTCATATGAATCCCATCGAAATCAGTTTGTTCCCAAGTGAGTGCATGTAATATGACAAATATATTTCAGGTTTTAGTGACCTTAACACACATTTATCTAGAATTATTGTGTTTATTTATACATCTATGGGTCCTCTGTAGATGGCTACTACTCAGCCAGAACATCCAACCTCTGAAAAACATTGTCCTGTTGTCTCTGGCATGTTTTTAGTAGAATACTTAGAAGACTAAAAAATATCAATTTAGACCAGATAAATGTCATGTTTTTAATTCAGTCTTGGTCAGAAAAAGCAAGAAGTATAAAGTAGCCTAGCGTATTGTACGACACTCTATTAGTTATTGTTTTATTCTCTAAAATCACAGAATCACCAGTTGTGTTTTATTATGTCATCAGTCTGGGAAAGATTTTCTTCCTCCGAGACTGTTTTTCACATAGGAGGGCCATTTTCGACACACCACCAGTCTTGGGGTTTTTCACAATAAAAGTCTTTTACTAAAAATACATTTATTTAAAGGCCTCATAAAGCACATTAATTAGTTGGTTTTGACTACTTTTTTCTGTTAGCTAGTTTCTTTTTAAAGATGATTAAAAACTATGATAACCATTTAGATCATGTGTGTATTTAATCTGCTTCCTTGTTTATCATTTTACAAGAAAACATCAACATCACTTTATCCAAAGTAGGCTCAAGATCTCCTGAACCAAATGAAAGATGCTGTCCAGCATAAGTCATTTTACTACTGAGAGAAAAAGGAAGGATGAGGCTGAAGACAGTTTTCTGAAATCAGAATCTAAATACGACAGTAACTTCACTGAAGAAATTACCCAATAACTAACAGGTTTTTGAGTCTTTGCTTTAGCATTCCTTAACAAGGAAAATGAGTAGCATGGTTATTATGAATTGTTTGCTCCAGTCCAGAAAAAGAGCTGTTTTATCTGCGATCTTTGGTGCCTGACTTCCTCTTTCCAGCCAGAAGGTGTTTGGGTTTCAGGTCAAACACGTGTCGGTCAGACTCTCCTCTCCTGGCCTGCCGGTTCATGTCTCTCTGGGAGTTCTTCATCATTTTCTTTGTCTTCTTCACCATCTGGGGAACAGAATTAAAGAATTAGGATGGGAAACAAATGGGAGTAAAACTGAAATGTCTTTTTGCTGCTAAATAAACACAAGCCTCATCTGTTATCATCCTAACACTGAAAAATGACAAACAAAATTAGGCTTTTTTTATATCTTGTGTTAACCTCTGCTATAGAAACATTGCCTGCTGCGTAAATAAAAACAATCCCAGACCTTTCCATCTCTCAGACCAGACTGGTCTCGAGGAGGACGGGAGGCGCTCTGACTGCGGGTTTTGGACGTGGGAGGAGCCGAAGCTTCGCGTTTCCGTTTCCTGGTGATGCTGCGAGAACGCTGGCCCTGCTGAGCGTAGTGGCTCTGAAATCAGATGGGATAAAAACATTAATATTTAGCGTTTTCACTACAACAGGGTTCCTACAAGTTTCATCAAGTTAAATTCAAGAAATTTTCAAGACCACTTAAATACAAAGTTAATAGCTATTTCACAGCCCTACTGGTAAAATGTATCCTTGAACTTTTGTTGATTTATTTTATTATATTTTGCCAAAACACTCGGTAGACATAAGTAGCAGAGCGGTTTGAGCTTTCACAGAAAGGGTAGCTATGGTAACGTAAAACACGTTTAAAATATAACAGCGTCGGTAGGGCTGGGTACAAGTAGACATTCCTTGATACTATTACTTTAATGACACCTGGTTTTAGATGGTGGTACCTTAATGATACTTTTGTTGAAATCTATGTTTTTATTTTATGAGAGGAAAACAACCTACCTCAAGGTTTTGTTCTTGTGGTTTATATTATTTTATTATATTTATTTTTATTATGCTTTATTTTCTAAGCAAAAACAGAGCAAAGCTACTGTGAAAACAGTAAAGGCACAAAATGTAAATATATGTATAAAAATAGCCTCCATTAAAGAATTTTCCGGAGTTTCCCCCTTTCAGAAACGATGTATGATTTTCCAGAAATCCGTAAAAGTGATCATCTTATATGTACTGTGGTATAATGTAAGCAATACGTCTTTATTTTTTTTTTTCGCCATCTTAAAGAGCAAGTCACCCCCTACAAGAAACTTACTCCACTCCCACTTCATGTTAGAAAAATGCAACAAATGCTGTTGCCTGGCAGACCAAGAGGGCGGAGCCGCTAACAAACACATGTGACATCATATGGTACCAGCTAACATTATATTGTACCTCTTAGCCAATAGCGATGGCAGATTTTATTCAAATGTAGTGCAGAGTTTTTTACCTGAAGAGTACACAACACTGACAGTTTTAGGCTGAAAATTTCAATTTAACAAAGATGCACTAAAGTGCCAAATTATTGATTACATGAGTCTACAACACAATTAGAAAAACATTTATATAGTTTATCAGCAAAAAAAAGTTGGTTTGGGGGTGACTTGCTCTTTAATATCAAACATCCAGCTCAATATTCAGAGTTCACCGCGGCAACTCAGATAAAAAGATGCCAGCCAACACCTGAAGCGATGCTGAAAAACAAAAACTTCCTAAGGATAGCTAAAAGGCCAAAAAGATCACAGCCAAGATAGCTGAATTTATTGCACCAGATGACCAGCTGCTGTCTGTGGTTTCCAACGTAGGATTTCACCTGGAGCACTTGGAGCCAAGGTGCGACTTACCTTCTCGAAGCTACGTTACAGACACGGCTCTGCCCAGCTTTCACAACAAGCTATGTGACCACCTGTTGGTCATGTTATCAAAGGTGTCTGCTTTTGGGTTTACCACAGACATATGGAGTTCATCTGTTTGTCCAGTGTCACTGAAATGTCAGTCGTGTGACCCGCGGTGGCACACTGGGTCACCTACCGAACGTTTTCACTCAGTCCCAAAGAGGTCCAGAGGTCTGGCACCCAGCCCTAGGTGTCAGTCAACCTTTCTCATGGTCTGCTGAGATTTTCCACGTTTCTCCTCAGCTGGATGTCTGTGTGGTCTGTGTTATGTTCACAGTTCGTATCACTGCTGTAGCGCGAGAGCTGAATATGTCACGTGTTTGGACTATTTAGACCCGAAGCAGCGCTGCGTTCTCGATTATTGGTTCCGCCACGCTATGTTATTTAACAAAAATAATTGTGGTTGACAAATGAAACTTTAGAGGACAAATGCAGTACGGAGAATTTACATACAGCACAAATTTAAGACCCAGATATCATATTTAAAGACTTGTTAAATTCTTAAATTCATTGCTTTTAGGATGTTGTAAGACCCCATGGGAACCCAGTACAAGCATAAAAACTTAGCCAACCAAAATCAACAAACCTCACAAAAAAAACTATCAATACTTACGTTGCTCTTGTCACTCATGTCCAGACCGAGGTTACTCATCTCCTTCTCCAGCTGCTTCTTCTCCACCTGGGAGGAAAAAAGAAAAGAAAGACAAACTTGTTCAGAGTTAAACTAATAAAATTCATTTCAATCAGGAAACAACACCAAACTAGAGACAAAGATGAAAAGCATGATGCGAGGTTTTTCTTTCAAACAAGTTTCAGGTGGCAAACACCTAGGAGCCAAGTTGTCTGAGGCTTTCTGCCTCTGGTAGGGTCACCCATGGCAAACAGGTCCTAGGTGAGGAAGACCTCTTATGATGAATAATATAAATGGAAACCGTGTTCCCTCGCCCGGACGTGGGTCACTGGGGCCCCCCTCTGGAGCCAGGCCTGGAGGTGGGGCACGTTGGCGAGCGCCTGGTGGCCGGGCTTTCACCCATGGAGCCCGGCCGGGCACAGCCTGAAGAGGAAACGTGGGTCCCCCCTCCCATGGGCTCACCCCTCGTGAGAGGGGCCAAAGGGGTCAGGTGCAGTGTGTGACGGGTGGTAGTCGAGGGTGTGGACCTTGGCAGTCTGATCCTCGGCTACAGAAGCTGGCTCTTGGCACATGGAATGTCACCTCTCTGGTGGGGAAGGAGCCTGAGTTGGTGTGTGAGGTTGAGAGGTTCCGACTAGATATAGTTGGGACTCACCTCAATGCATGACTCTGGCTCTGGAACCAGTTTCCTTGAGAGGGGCTGAACTTTCTACCACTCTGGAGTTGCTCCCACTGAGAGGCGCCGAGCAGGGGTGGGCATACTAGTTGCCCCCCATCTTGGTGCCTGTACGTTGGGGTTTACCGCAGTGAATGAGGGTAGCCTCCCTCCTCCTACGTGTGGGGGGACGGGTTCTGACTGTGGTCTGTGCTTATGCACCAAACTAAAGTTCAGACTACCCACCCAGTGCGCTACCAACACTATCTATAGTGTGGACGGTGTGCTGCTGACTTCTACTCAGGACGTTGTGGATCGGTGGGCAGAATACTTCGAAGACCTCCTCAATCCCACCGACACGTCTTCCAGTGAGGAAGCAGAGTCTGGGGACTTTGAGTGGCCCTCTCAAATCTCTGGTGCTGAGGTCACTGAGGTGGTTAAAAAGCTCCTCTGTGGCAAGGCTCCGGGGGTGGATGAGATCCGCCCGGAGTTCCTTAAGGCTCTGGATGTTGTGGGGCTGTGTTGGCTGATGCGGCTCTGCAATATTGCGTGGACATCGGGGGCAGTCCCACTGGACTGGCAGACCGGGGTGGTGGTTCCCTTATTTAAAAAGGGGACCGCAGGGTGTGTTCCAACTACAGGGGTATCACACTCCTGAGCCTTCCTGGTAAGGTCTATTCAGGGGTTCTGGAGAGGAGGGTCCGTCAGATTGCTGAACCTCAGATTCAGGAGGAGCAATGTGGTTTTCGTCTTGGCCGTGGAATACTGGACCAGCTCTGTACCCTTAGGGGGGTCCTGGAGGGTGCGTGGGAATTTGCCCAACCAGTCTACATGTGGTTTGTGGATTTGGAGAAGGCGTTTGACTGCGTCCCTCGGGGGGCCCTGTGGGGTACTCCGGGTGTATGGGGTCCCAGGCCCTCTGATACGGGCTGTTAGGTCCCTGTATGACCGGTGTCAGAGCTTGGTCCGCATTGCCAGCAGTAAGTTGGGCTCGTTCCCAGTGAGAGTTGGACTCTGCCAAGGCTGCCCTTTGTCACCGATTCTGTTCAAAACCTTTATGGACAGGATTTCTAGGTGCAGCCAAGGTGTGGAGGGCATCTGTTTTGGTGGCCTGAGGATCAGGTCTCTGCTTTTTGCAGATGATGTGGTCCTGTTGGCTTCATCAGAACGTGATCGTCAGCTTTCGCTGGAGCGGTTCGCAGCCGAGTGTGAAGCAGCTGGGATGAGAATCAGCTCCTCTAAATCTGAGACCATGGTCTTGAATCAGAAAAGGGTAGAATGCCTTCTCTGGGTCAGGGATGAGGTCCTGCCCCAAGTGGAGGAGTTTAAGTATCTCTGGGTCTTCTTCACGAGTGAGGGAAAACTGGAGCATAAGATCGATAGGCGGATTGGTGCTGCATCTGCAGTGATGCGGGCGTTGTACCGGTCTGTCATGGTGAAGAGAGAGCTGAGTCAGAAGGTGAAGCTCTCGATTTATCGGTCGATCTACGTTCCTACCCTCACCTATGGTCATGAGCTTTGGGTAGTGACCAAAAGAACGAGACCGCGGATACAAGCGGCCGAAATGAGTTTTCTCCAAAGAGTGGCTGGACTCTCCTTTAGAGATAGCGTGAGAAGCTCGGTCATCCGGGAGGGGCTCGGAGTAGAACCGCTGCTCCTCCACATCAAGCGGAGCCAGTTGAGGTGGCTCGGGCATCTGGTCAGGATGCCTCCATGGTGAGGTTTTCCAGGCATGTCCAACCGGGAGGAGCCCTAAAGGTAGACCCAGGACATGGTGAAGGGACTATGTCTCTCACCTGGCCAGGGAATGCCTTGGGATTCCCCCAGAGGAGCTGGCCCAAGTGGCTGGGGAGAGGGAAGTCTAGGCCTCTCGCCTTAGGCTACTGCCCCTGCGACCCGACTCCGGATAAGCGGATGAAAATGGATGGATGGACAAGTTTCAGGGAAATACAACATAAAAAAATTTGTATCCCAAAAACTGTTACATTTTCAGCTGTATTCATGTATGTCCATCACTTTCTGATGCTAGTAAATGATATAAAAACTCTAAATGTATTTTTTATTGACTAATTATTTGATTTTTAAACATAAAACTAAATAAAACGTCCTCTCACCTTGGTTGCGGTTCTGGGCATGCGAGGTCCATGTACATCCTTTTCTTTCGACTCCAGGACCATGAGCTGCTTCTTCTCTTTGATCTGCTTGGCCAGAGTTCGGATCTCCTGCATCTCTTCATCCTCGCTCTCCTCGTCCGACTCGTACTCGCCGGCTCGCTCCTTAAGCTCCTCCTCCTTCTCTAGAGCCTCCAGTTTCTGTGACGGAAAAGAAACGATTTGGAGCTGTTAACCCTGGAGATAAAAGCACTCTCAGGACAACACAACAACAGCTGAGATCATTGAGAACAAATACAGCCACTGGTTTTGGTTTTCTGGAGCAAACTCACCCTCATAATATCAGGATCGATGTAATCAGCGATGTTGTGACCCTCCCACACTTCAGGAATGGTGTCTTGCTTCTCATCCTCATTCATCAGGTCCCAATATTCTTAACAAAGGAGAAAACAAACATTTATTTTCCACTAAATCACAGCAGCAGATGTTTTGTCATTAGAATAAAAACTGTTCTTACTCTGCAGATCCAGAACATAATCATCGCCGAGCTCCATCTCCAGGTCTCTCTCCTGAAAATGTTTAAACACACGGCTGAGTACGAAAACACCTTCAGAAAGCAGCACTACCGAGGTGTCAGACCTCCTATATTTAATCCTAAATACATCAGACTAATAGTCAACTATGACAGACCATAAGCACTAAAATAATAAAACTGAAGACTTTAGATCAGGCACATGAAGGAACGTCTACGTACCAGTTTGCGTTTGGGAGCGTCCACCTCCATCGCTTTCCTACGATTCAGAGCTCCTTCGGGGATGAACGGGGGCCTCTCCTGGGAAACAAACAGCAGATGAAAATCTAAAAGTGTAAAATTAAGAATCTACAAAGCTTAAAAAGTCAGTTTGAACGTTCTGAAGTACCTTCTCATCCCTCTTGGCAGGCATGGCCAGGTGCAGCCTGTTCAGAACATCGTGGACCTTCTTGCCTTTAATCTTGGTGTTGACCCGGTGAGCCAGAAGCTGGTCACATGCCTGAGAAGCATACGAGCATTTGATATGATGCCTCACACCTTCAGCCGGGAGGAAATGAGCCTGAAGATCATCTGATCTCACCTCAGTTTTAACCTGCATGACTCCTTCTTCCGTCAGCGTGCTCGTCTCAATGACGGGGATTCCCTCCGCCGTGAAGTCCGCAAAGATTTTCTAGCAACAGACGGAGAAAAGGAAGCAGCGAGGGTCAGAGAAACAACGCTAAAGGTTTAGCTGAAGAAAAACATTCAATAAAAGAAAACTGTTGAGTTCGGATCATCAACCAGACGAGCTTTGGTGGCACAAAGGTCTTCATCACACCTGATTCTCCTCCGACAGCTCACTGATCTTCTTCACGTCACATTTGTTTGCAACAATGATGAGAGGCTGCAGAAAAACCAGCAAGACTGGAGTCAGCTGAATGAACGGAGCAAATATTTTTATGGTTTTTGAGGCAACAGATTGCTGCGTTTCTGTCAGATAGGGCGTGTGACCAGTGCAGATGAGGCTGGAATTAGAGGAAAGACTAGAGACCCTTTCCAGCGAGAGACTCCTCCCACACTTACGAGTTATTTTAATCAAACATAAAACACAGCAGAGGACTTGGACACGCCCTTACCTCCGACACAAGTTGTGGCGGCCTGGACAGCACCACACACTGTCCCATACGTCCTAAAGGTCTAAACTCTTAATAATAATAATACATTGAACTTATATAGCACTTTTCTAGACACCCAAAGACGCTTTCACACACTCTCACATTCACACACTGCTAGTGATGGTAAGCTACTTGTAGCCACAGCCGCCCTGGGGAGGTCTGACAGAGGCGAGGCTGCCATTTGGCGCCGTCGGCCCCTCTGACCACCACTAACACAGGCAAGTTGGGTGAAGTGTCTTGCCCAAGGACACAACAGCAGGATACCCCTGGCGGGAGCTGGAATCGAACCCATGACCCTCCGATCATGAGGCAACCCGCTCTACCACCTGAGCTACTGCTGCCCCTGAGCTACTGCTTGTTTCTTTTGTTTAAAGTTTTCTGACAGGTTTACGTTCGGCCGCGACAGCTGGTGACAAACTGCAAGCTGAATTTTCCCTAAATGTTTGTAATATTTTTTCTCACAACATGAAGCTGTGGCACCTCATCTGCAAACATCTGGAACTAGTCTCTTCCTATAAGTCTGAAAGTCTTAAAAAGGAGAGAGAGAACGAAGCAAATAAGATGAGTTTTAAACTGATTAAGTTGTTTTGTAGCTAAATTGCAACAACTAAATGTGCATTTCCATCTAGTCTGTAACAGCTCTGGAGTCTGACCTTGTTGGTGAACAGAGGCCGGATGTTGTTGAAAAGCTCCAGCTGCTCCTGCAGGGTGTGTCCGCACTGCTCAGACACGTCAGTGACGTAAAGGATGGCTGAACGAAGGTGAGCTAGAGCCGTGATGGCCTGCATCTCGATGGTGTTCCTCTCCTCCAGGGGATGGTCCAGGATACCGGGGGTGTCCACCACCTACACACGTGTCAGCAGAGCATCAGAGCGGACACCAGAAACAACTTCCTGATCGGTTTCAGCTGTTTTATAAGCGGAACTTGAAGGTAAAGTTTGAACACTTAAAGAGCAAGTCACCCCCTGCCAGAGTATTACTCCACTCCCACTTTCTGTTTGAAAAATGCAACAAATGCTGTTGCCTGGCAGACCGAGAAGGCGTAGCCGCTAGCAAATACACAAACAAAGGCTCAAGATGACATTGTGACATCATAATGTACCAGCTAACATCATAGTGTAACCGCTTAGCCAATAGCGATGGCAGACTTAAATTCACATGCAGTGCAGAGTTTTTACCTGAAGATGGTGCAATAATGACAGTTTTAGGCAGAAAATTAAAATTGTAACTAAGATGCACTAAAGTGCCAAATTATTAACTACACATGTCTACAGCACGATTAGACACTCATTTATATACCAAATCCTCTAATATTGGCCTGTATATAATTAACTGCTGGGTATCATATTCTGGCCAGTGTCGGAGTCGGTGAATAATGGCCGTTTTTTTATTGTGGCCGGGTGGAATGTGGTAACAAGCAAGTACCACGGGGGGGGGGGGGGGGCAGTTGTGTCATCCGTCTCACTTTTGATTTGCCAGTGATAGACCGCGAGGGTAACTTTAACCGTGCGGAGATGAAGAGGAGGCGAAAATTTGATATTAAGTTCAAAGAGAACGTGCTGATTATGCTGCAGAACACTCTGGGGAGCAGTAGGGGTTGTATGAACTAATCACTAGTCGACTTCACCGCTCTATAGTGACTTTTTATGCCCGTCATCGACTAGTCGCTGTCACGTGATAATGACCGGCAAGATACAGTCCTCGGAAAAGACAGCAGCCTGCTGTCAGCAGGTGACAAGCTCCTGCGTGTTGGGAGGCGACGCGCTGTGCCAGAGCGTCGGCACTGACCCCCGCCGTAAAACGGACATTTAACCAAATTGTGACATTTACCCTCTTGCAATTTAACCTTCCCCTCACCCCATCCTAACCTTAACCAGCTTGCGCATGCAAAGCTCTGATTGTTGACGCGCTCCAGACATCTGCGTCCTGAGCACGGCCACAGTTACATTATCAAATCAGGTGTTGCCACCTCAAAAACTAATTTAACACGCGATCGTTCATGTTGGCTCATTTCCTTTTATGTTTTTTGTTTTTTAAATTATTTTATTTGTGCCTGATGCGTTTCGCTGCTGTGGATCGGGGTGCATCACCTGTTTTGTCCTCCGGTGACTCACCTAACTGATGTGGCCGGCAAGCAGCGCACACTCCGCTGTTTTTGCGGTCGGTAGATCTTTTAGAACTGCAGTTCAAAGGTAACTCATAAGATGAATATATATGAAGCCAGGTAGCAGTTTTTCTTTAGGATTGAGAGGAGATGCAGGAAGATAATAAACAGGCAGGACAGAAAAATAGTCAAATAAAAACAAGTTAGTTTTTGTACCTGGTGGTTGCAACAAACAGACACCATTGAAGGTAATCAGAAGTGAGGAACAGAAAATGAAATAATTATTTTAATGTTTAGAGCAGCAGGAACTCCGAGAGGCTGCAGGCGCATCAGTGAGTTTGCGGCCGCTGCGCAGGGGGAGGGGGGAGAGGGCTGAAGCAGAAACTACCGTTGTTAAAAGAAATGTGTTTAACTTTGAAAACGTGGGCGCAATTTTAATTGTCAAAAACTCCAGCGAACCATTAGTTCATTTTGCTCAAATAGAAATTGAGGCCTGTCTCTAATTCTGGTCCTCCTTCCAATAAAGGCCTGGAGCTTGGTGAGCTTGGGTCAAATACAGGCCCAGGCCTGTATTAGAGGATTAACGGTATTTATCAGCAAAAAAAAAAAAGTTGATTTGAGGCTGACTTGCTCTTTAAGTTACTCTGAACAGAAAACAATAAACCTTCTTCAAATATTTCAGGTTCACCAGAGTTCATGAATGCAGTAAAATAGCAGCAGAATCTCACCTGCCAGCGGAGGTACCTGTAGTCCATGTGACCCACAAACAGAGACTTTGTGGTGAAAGCATACGGCTGGACATCAACGTCTGCCCTGGTGACCTAGTGAGGTGAACATTTCACATTTTCTTTAATGAAGAAGGGAAACCAGGCTGATTTAATACATTAGTTAGTACCATGCTTGGAAAGCTGGTCTCAGTCAACATTAATTATGAAAAAATGATCTCTGTAGCTGACCTTGTTGATGAAACTGGATTTGCCCACATTGGGGTAACCACACAGAAGCAGGGTCCTGGTGTTCGGGTCGATGCTCGGCAGACGGGACAGGTGCTGACGAACTGTAGGAGCAGGAAGTCAGATTTAAACCACAGGAATCTGCAGCAGAAACTGATGTTTAATCACTAAGTTTTCCCATTAACAACTCATCACCTTGCTCCAGATACTCCAGACTGGATTTCTGTCGTTTCAGGATGGTGCACATTCGGCCCAAAGCAGCTCTCTTCAGCTGCTTACACCGATACAAAGAATCTCCATATTTCATCAAGCGCACGTAGTCTTTCGCCACGCTGGAAGGTTATAAAAAACAAAAATCACTTGTTTGTAGACATTTTGGGTTCTGTTGTTAGAATCACTGGTTGTTTAACAGCAGAACTCTACTGCCTAAATGGTCTTCTCTGTAGGTTTATGTGTTCTTACAGAATTTAAAAATCTTTAGCAAAGCAGAAAAAACCTGAACACCTCACCAACCCCACAGGGACAGAGGTTAAACTTAAACTGTCTGATTAATTTTGTGTTTGATTCATGTCGAAACCTCAGGATTGCTTATATGTCAATAACCCAAACAGGGTGTTGTAAACTGCATGATGCATGTTCACATTCTCTGAAGTCCAAACTTACTTATCAATCAAGTTTCTGGCGATGTTAATCTGTCCTAAGGCCAGCTTGTAGTGATCCTTGTCATACAACACGTTCATCAGATCAGCATAAAAAGGATGGATGTCCTGGAGAGACACACAGACCAAATTCACAAACAAATCCCAGAAATCAGACAATCAGCCTCCAGATGAGTAAAGGGCGGTGACCTACGTCGAGTTTTGGGAAGTCTGTGAGGATTTGCGTGAGCCGGTCGTGATAGTTCTGCTGGGTAAACTTTACTTTCCGCATGTAGAAGTGTCGGATGCGGTGGATCTGGTAATGTTTGTGGACCACCGTGGGCGTCTTCCTTTGTGTTTTGGATAAAGTGATGTCGATGAATTCCTGCAGACATGAAGAGTGCACTGGTTAATAACCTGAGACCACAAAGACAGTTTTTCTCTAAGACATTCTGTTATCCTGCAAGGTTCAGCCAAGCCTCTGGCTGACAGAAAACAATGTTTATCAAGTCATTTTTCAAAAACACTTCAAACTGAAACGTTTTATTATATGATCTTCTTTACTTTGGTTTGGGCTTTTAGAACACATTTTAAGCAACTGAAACGCTTAAAATTACAAACATCTGATTAAAAAGCAGAGTTAGATTTTATTTACGACTACTGGTAGCTACTAGCTAAAACAAAAAATTGAGGAGCTCGTTACTTTTCAAACAGTGGTGTAATCATCCCAGACATTACGTAAACACGCAGGAAACCTCGTTTAGTTTAATAAATCGTGTCCTATTCGTTTTAAAGTAAAAATCTACTGTTCTCGCAGATTTTCATCCAATGATCTGTTGCTGTCCCACGTGTTTTCGTTCCATTTAACTGTTTTCATTTCTATCAACCAACGGTCGTTTCTAACCGCGAGCGCATGGTCAAAGCCGAGTTGAAAAAGCGGAAATCGTGGAATAAAACTCACCTTGGCGGTAGGAACCACCATAATCTTTTTAAAGTTATAAAGTGCCATTTTGTCAGGACACGTTTAGGGCCACCGACGGCACGGAGAGGAACCGGAAACGAGTCAGTCTGAGACCACCAGCAGAAACTGGAAACTTTTCTGCTCGGCGCCCTCTAGCGGCCATAAGTGCACACAGCAATTAGAAACATGTAAACATCCCCCAAACATTAAAAAAGGGCTGAACTCTAAAATAAACAGCTGATACGCAACTTCTAATGGCATCATATGATTTTTTATTTGATTTTATACTTCCTGGTACTATTTAAGACAAAACACTCATACTAAAGTCAGCTAAAATTAGCTGTGCTCAAGTAAAATATTTTTGAAAGCCTATGCCAATATACTTTTAGAATATAACACGTCTATTAAAAGTCTATTTAAATATTCAACCAACCTTAGTGCACTTAGTAACTTAACTGGAAAAATTCTCAGCTGAACTTTGTTGCATACAAATAAATTCTGGTTAATTTAAAATGTAGAAACTCAACCTTCTCCTAGGTATTTCAATATTTTTAAGTGTTTTATTCTAATCTTTATGTGGACACCTTCACTTTTACTTCATTGCGTTCACAATGTGTACATTTTTATTTTTACATGGAAGGGGACGGAGGTACAACTTACATGAAAACCATCGATGAAAACATGTCTATGGGGGCGCAACATATTTGTTGTGACCCGCGCTAATCATCAAACAACCAATCGGAGTGCAGTGGTGTTTCAAGGCCACGCCTACACTCCTTGATCACGAGTGAGGTTCGCGTGCAGTTTGGACCAATCAGGGGAGCACACTGCAAGAACGAAGACGAAGGGGCGGAGGGTCGAGCCCCCTGACAGCTGCACCAAAGACATCCCAAATTTTAAGGAGGTCTCACTCCAACAGCTGGGGGTTTACCACGAAGAAGTTCAACAAAACTGGGATGTGGTATATTTTATTTATTTTTTATTTAACCAGATGATTTAACTCATTCTCATTTGCAACGACGATCTAACCAAGAGGCAGCAGCAACAGACAGACAATTTGCTTTACACAAAATAAAAGCAGATAAGATCAAACAAACAAGAATAAAAAAAGATAAATCAGTTAGACATAAAGACAAATGACTGTTCTCATGTACAATATCTACAAGCAATCAAAACAGACTTAAACAATCTAAGTATTCAGAGGCAGGCACATTGATCAGAAACTACTGACTGCAATGAATTATTGAGTTTTGTGTCCACTCAGAAATAAATTGTACTATGATAATTGTCTTTGTTTACTCTGTCCTCTTTCTTCTTTGTGTTTTGTATTTTAAATGGGGGTGAGAAGAGAGGTAGAAGAAATATGATTTGGACAAAAGCACAATGTTGCTGAATTATTTGGGTGTACAAATAATTAATAATACATTTTATAAAACTAATAAATAAAATAGAAAATAATGAAGGAATTATGACATCTGCACTCTGTAATAAATGAGTCACTACTGTGAACAAGTAATTGAAAAGAAAATAATTTGCAAAATAATACAAACCTGTAATAAAATAATTTGTAAAAATCAACCAGGGATCAAAGATGCATATTGGTTGGTTTATAAACAAGTCTTTAGGAACATTACTTAATTATAAATGGTAAATGACCTGTATTAAATATAAACCCTTCCAGGGTTCTAAAACCCCTCAAGACACTTTGCAGCGTAGCCAGTCACTCACCCACACACAGTCATGTGGTGTTCATGAGCTACAGTGTAGCCACAGCTGCCCAGGGGCACACTGACAGAAGTGAAGTTTATTTCACTTTCTTCATAAGGAGAGTTCTTGTCTGTAAATTTATGTTTGTCAATGACTTCAGGGTTTGAAAGTAAGAAAGCTGGATTTACATCTATTTATATCTGAAAGTCCTCATGCACATTGGCAGAGGACTTAGGTTCCTGCCCTGTAACCGGAGGGTTGCCAGTTTGAGTCCCGCTCCGTCCGTTGCAGCGTTCTTGAGCAAGACACTCCCTGCTGGTGGTGGTTGGTCATTGCACCTCAGGGAAGCTGTGGCTACAATGAAGCTCATCACCACCATTGTGGAGTCAACCATTTACGGATGAATCTCATATGAAGGTTTTCCTGCACCACATTAATTCTTTTAGGTGTAAAGCATCAGACAATTAATATTTCATAACAATCATATCAACTTGCAACCTACCCAGAAAATTATGTTTATGTTTATGTATTTAGCAGACGCTTTTGTCCAAAGCGACTTACAAGTGATGATCGGCATATTGCCCTTGAGGCTAACAACAACAATAACAACAACAACATTGACATCAGTCATGGAGAGGAGGGAACAAGGACTGGACAGTAGAGAGGGGGATGGGTGCAGGGAGGGTGCTAGTTAAGAAGATGCTCTCTGAAGAGCAGGGTCTTCAGGAGTTTCTTGAAAATTGAAAAGGAAGCCGCAGTTCTGGTAGTGCTTGAAAGGTCATTCCACATTTGTGGAACGATGCATGAGAAGAGTCTGGATTGTCCTGGGCGTGGCGTAGGCACTGCTAGCCGACGATCCTGTGATGACCGGAGCGGCCGGGCTGAGACGTAAGCCTTTGCAAGAGGATTCAGGTAGATGGGAGCCGTACCATCTCGGACTTTGTATGCTAGTGTTAGCAATTTGAATTTGATGCGTGCTGCTAGCGGTAGCCAGTGGAGCTCAATGAACAGAGGGGTGACGTGTGCTCTTTTTGGCTGATTGAAGATCAGACGCACCGATGCGTTCTGGACCATTTGAAGAGATCTCACAGTACAGCCTGGAAGACCAGTTAGAAGGGCATTGCAGTAATCAAGGCGGGAGATGACAATAGATTGCACCAGGAGCTGGGTGGCATGTTGTGTTAGGTATGGTCTGATCTTTCGTATGTTATACAGCACAAAGCGGCATGAACGAGCCACAGAGGCAACTTGATCTTTAAAGCTCAGGTGTTCATCAATCACAACGTCCAGATTTCGAACTGCCTTTGAAGGAGCCAGAGATAGGAAGTCATTTTGGATTGAGATATTGTGCTGTATGGATGGTTTTGCTGGGATGACAAGTAGTTCAGTTTTAGAGAGGTTGAGTTGGAGATGGTGGGATTTCATCCATTTTGATATGTCAGAGAGACAGTTTGATATTTGTGCAGAGACAGTGTGGTCGTCCGGTGGAAATGACAGATAGACCTGGGTGTCGTCTGCGTAGCAGTGGTAGAAGCCATGTGATCTAATGATCTCACCCAGTGAGGTGGTGTATATGGCAAAGAGAAGAGGTCCTAGTACAGAGCCCTGGGGGACTCCTGTGGCAAGATGGTGCACGGTGGAGGATTGTCCAAGCCAAGATACACTGAATGATCATCCTGTGAGGTACGATTCTAACCAGGCGTGTGCTTTCTCTGTGATGCCCATGCTAGAGAGTGTGGACAAAAGGAAGCCATGGTTGACAGTGTCAAATGCAGCCGATAAGTCGAGCAGAATAAGCACTGAGGATTTGCCTGTTGCACTAGCTTCTTTTAAGGATTCAGTCACTGCTAACAGAGCAGTTTCAGTGGAGTGGCCCTTTTTGAATCCAGATGGGTAAGGGTCAAGCAGACAGTTTTGTTAGAGGTATTCTGTGATCTGCTTGAAAGCCACCCTTTCAATTATTTTGGACAGAAAAGGGAGGAGAGAGATAGGTCTGTAGTTCTCCACATGATTTGGAGGAAGAGATGTTTTTTTTTTTTTAGCAGCGGTTTAACCTGAGCATGCTTGAGAGAGGTGGGAAATGTATCGGATGTCAGTGAAGCGTTGATCACATGTGTGACTGCTGCGGCTACTGTAGGAGCAGTAGCTTGGAGCAGCTTTAGTCGGAATGGGGTCAAGTGGGCATGTAGTAGGGCGGCTGCACATGAGAAGCTTGGACACAGTTCTCAGTGAGAGGGGAAAAGAGGAAAATGACGCAGTAGTGCCTGAGATGGTTGGGCTAGAAGGAGTTTGTGGTAGTGAATGTTCAGAAATGTCCAGTTGAGTAAACTGTTTGCTTATAGCTGCCACTTTGTCAGTGAAGAATGAGGCAAAGGTGTCAGCTGATAGATTGTTGGTAGGAGGTGGAAATGGAGGGGTGAGCAGAGTTTTGAATGTTGAAAATAGTTTCTGAGAGTCAGTAGAACTGAGAATTTTGTCAGTGTAGAAAGCTTTCTTTGCAACAGTGATGCTGATAGAGAATGAGGACAGTAATTCCTGAAATTTCAATAGATCACCAGGATCTTTTGTTTTGCGCCATTTCCATTCCGCAGCTCTAAAATTGGTGCGTAGAGAAAATTAAAGGTAGATAAAGTGTTATTGAGGGCTGCGCAGTGGCGCAGTGGTTAGAGCTGTTGCCTTGCAGCAAGAAGGTCCTGGGTTTGCTTCCCGGCCTGGGATCTTTCTGCATGGAGTTTGCATGTCCTCCCTGTACATGCGTGGGTTCTCTCCGGGTACTCCGGCTTCCTCCCACAGTCCAAAAAGCATGACTGTTAGGTTAATTGGTCTGTATAAATTGTCCTTAGGTGTGAGTGTGTGTGTGCATGATTGTTTGTCCTGTGTGTCTCTGTGTTGCCCTGCGATAGACTGGCTCTCTGTCCAGGGTGTACCCCGCCTGATTGCCCGTCGACCGCTGGAGATAGGCACCAGCCCCCCCCCCCCCCCCCCCAGCCCCCCCCCCCAAGACCCCACATGGACAAAGCGGTTTCAGAAAATGGATGGATGGATGGATGGATGGATAAAGTGTTATTGAAGATTTAGATTTTTAATGTGCATTACTTTCCTGCTGACTCACAGCTAGAAGGTTGCAGGTTTAACTCCCAGCTGTGACATTTCTGTGTAGATAATAAATCACCCTCTCTTACATATTAGTTTCCTCCCACAGACCAATTGTGGCCTTCTGATGGACTAGTAACGCAGGGATCACCTGGGGATCTGCACCAGCTCCACTAAAACAAGAGAAGAAAGACATTATATGTGGTCAAATCAGATTAAAGTGTGCAGATGTGGGAGGTTGTGCCCACTCCAGTTTGTCTGGACATCAGGTTCAGGTTGGGATATGTGTGGAATTTGTCCAAGTCGAAAGCCACGATGTCACGGGAAAGATTATTATGTGT